CAGGGGAACAGAGAGGCGGCTGCGGCGCGCGCGCTTAAGCGGTGGCTGGCGCTCAGGGGTCGCAAAGCGCGGCGCGAAAGAACTGGTGGGGGTGCATGTCAAGGCCTGCAACTGCTCGCCGAACACGCTCTGTGGGTGATCCGGAATGTCGCGCCAGTGAATCGATGCTGGCAGTGTAGTTAAGGTACTGCGATGTACGCCAAATTCACACATTCGTGCTCACACAAAGACACTCTCTCTTTCACATGTTCACGCGCGCGCCCCCACACCCGCACACGCACACACACATACACCACACACACATGCACGTGCACGTTCGCACCCAGCCGCTCACCCAAACGCGCGTGCATGCGCGCACTCACGTCTCTGCCCCGGCCCCTCCCCACCCCAAAGGCATCGTCAAGGCTGTGGGCAAGGCGCTGGGCAAGGAGCCCAAGGTGGTGCTCTACAGCCCAGAGAAGGTCGGCACCGGCAAGAGCGGCAAGGCGGAGGGCTTCCCCTTCAGGTATGGGCGCCCCGCACATGTGTCGGTGTGCGTGCGTGCGTGCGTGCGTGCGCACGCACACCCACACACATGCACACTCGCACGTACGCACGCACATAGACCCCGGCCGCGCCGTTGCGCTCCACACGGCTTGCCACGCAGCAACTGGTCGCGTCTCCCCGCTTTTGTGGTTGAGCACCCTCGCCCGCCTCTGCTGACGACCGCCTCTCCCCGTCAGCCGGCCCTCATCCGCCCAAAACAATTTTCCCGGCCCCAAACGCCCCATGATACACGCCTGCCCCCAGGACTGTCCACTTCTTCGCGAGCGCCGAGAAGGCCAAGCGCGAGCTGGGCTGGAAGCCGCGGCACGACTTCCTGGCCGACGCCGCCGACCTGGTGGCGGCCTACAAGGCGTCGGGCCGCCAGAACAAGGACATCGACTTCAGGTGGGGCCGGGGTCGGTCGCTGCGGCATGACGCCATCACCTGGTCTGACGAAGTGGGGGCCGCCCTGCTTTGCAGCACTGGCATGCCCCGGGATTGCGACGTGCCCCGCCTGCTCCGGCCCCTTTTGGTTGAGCCGTGTGCTTGGCTCTCTGCTCCCTGCTCGTCTGCCTTGAAACCTTGCCACTGAGCACGGCGTGGCCGCCGCTGCTGCGTTGCGCCCTGCAGTGTGGACGACAAGATCCTGTCGGCCCTCAGGGCCTAAGACCTGCGCGGTTCTGGGCAGGGACGAGCCGGCCGGGCGGCTCGCAGAGGATGCAAGGGCGCAGAAAGTGCGCCGGCTCGGGTTCCTCTGCATGTGCAGAGGCGTGGTGGGGGCAATTGCCCCCGCCCTGGATTTGGTTGGAGTAGAGGTTGAGAGGGCGCCCGATTTTTCGTGCGACGGCCGGGCACGCCCGCCTTGGGCCGCCTGGCCGGCAGCTGCCTCACGCGCCGCTGGCAGCCCGCTTGTAAAAGCGCAAGCGTGCTATCTTCGGGGGCCAGGGGTGCGGGAGTGGCCAGGTCCCCTGACTGAGTCATATCGTGATCATCAGTTGAGGACTGGCAGACCAGGTCACATGTACTGCTATGCATGTACTGGTGTATACTGCCACTTCACAGTCCCAGTTAGCAGATTAAAGATTGAGGCAGTGCAGAGCCCCATTTTGCATCCAAACCTGCATCCGCCGTATCCTTGCCCACTCGTGCTGTCCGGGTTGGAGCCCCTTTCTGGTGGCTGCTCTGCAATTCGCAAATACTGCCGCCCGCATGCGTTGTGGTAAACATGCAAAGGGGGATCTGGTATCAGCAACCATATCGATCATCTTTCACTTGAGCTTGGGTACCGCGTAAAGTCGCGAGATCGGCATCAGATCAGAACATCGGCAGCGGCCTCATGGACATCTTTGAGTACAGTGAAGGTAAGTAATTGTTGTGTCGCGAGCACCGCGCCCATCTCCGGGCGCCCTGATGGCCTTTACATGGATCGCCCCCTGCCGCCTCGCAGCGCACTGGCCGACGCGGGCGTTGCAGCAGGAGGAGGAAGAGCAGGCGCAGAGCACAGCAGCAGCACACCTGCAGGAGCCTGATGTGACGGTGGGCACATGCGACGGAAGACACCATGCACATTTTCTGTGTGCTTGATCGATTGCAGCAGGCGAAGAGCGCCCGAAAACATGTCGCGCGCTCACCTCATCCCACTCTCTCTTTCTCTCTCCATGCCGCCGCAGTGGGCGCAAGGCGTCCCACTGGTCGATGGCACACTGCACACCGAGCTCCTAGTGAGTCTCGGCAGCTTCAGAAGCGCGTCGCGCGCAGCCTCACCTTCTGCTCGCCTTCCCTACAGCCCCTGTTTTAGTCGTGGCCATCGGCCTCTGCCGCCGTGGCAGGGCAACCATCCCCTCTATCCCCCCCACGCACACACACGATGACGCTCTTGACAGCATGCCATGCCTGACCCGCGGCTGTTGTCTGAACTGCCGCCGCCTCTGCAGGTTGTTGCGACCAACGAGGCGGCGTGCGCACTGGTTGACCACTGCTTCTCTTCTATCAAGGTCGGGGACGCCGGCGGGACGGGGCAATGGCAGCCGCGGTCCGCGCCCGCTCCGCTCAGCCGCCTCAGTCGGGCCCGGCTTGCGAGCAGCGCTGGCGAGCAAGGCTGTGGGCACTCTCATTGACACACGTGCACGGCCACACCCATGCCTACGGCCTCTGGCCCCTGCACCAACCTGAGCACGTTCCCCCCCTCACAGGCACACAAAACCCCCACCCGTTCACCCAACCCTGCATAACAGCACACACACTTGCGCACACCCACACAATGTATGCGCATGCAAATAAACCATGCACGCGCGCACACATGCTGTTGTATACTACTTCCGCACCAAGCAGGAGGTGGGATCGATACCCCCATCCGCACCCGATGGCGGCGGTGCTGCGCCCGGCGCTGACCTGGACGTGATCTACGGCGGCAGCGCCTCCTCGCGCCCCCGCCACCGCGCCAGCGCCGTCCTCGCGCCTACCGGCGCGCCGGGCGCGGCGCTCGCGGTGTGCTGCCGCGAGGACGTGCCCGCCGAGCGCGCGGGCGCGTGGGCGCGGGCGCTGCTGCGGGCGGTCGCGCCGGCGGCGGTGGTGATCCTGGGGGCAGTGCGGCCCGAGCACTACCGGGGCGCAGGGGACGCATCCCAAGAGTTCCTCTCATTCACCCTGCAGACGACAGCTCGGCGGCAGCAGCAGGGGCCGGCCGCCCTCGCGCAGCGGGCGGCCGCCCCGCCGCCGCTCCCGAGCGGCAGCATCGTGGCCGGCCTGCCGGCGGCGCTGCTGACTGCCTGCGAGCTGCGGGGGCTCGCAGGGGTGCTGCTGGTGTCGGTGGAGCAGGTGCCCGCGCTGCTGCCAGACAGCCTGCCACACCTGGCGGGCGCGGCGGCCGCGCTGCTATCGGAGGCGCCCGCAGCGGCCGCGCCGGCGCTGGCCGGCGCGCTGCGCGACGCCGGGCGCGTCGCGGCGGCGCGGGCGGGCGTGGAGCACTGGTTGGGGCGCGCGCGGGGGGCGGGGTCTGTGTACGTGTGACGTGACGGCCGTTGCGCCGGACTTCGCGTGTGCGCAGGTGCAATACGCGCGGCGCTTGCCGGGGCTCACCGATGTGCGCATGCGGTGCAACGCAACTCTGTCATGCACACATGTTACAAGCATATGTTGTCGCTCTGTCCATACAGTACCTAATTGCAATCGCAAGCGTGCCTGGACAAGGACTAGCCTATCACCAGCCTGGTGTCCCTGCACAAGGGGCGACCTAGAGGCGTCGCAACCGCGTGCACGCATGCAATTCACCGGCCACTGCTGGTGCGCCGGCAACCACAGCTTATGCATGTGATGTCGGCACATCAAACTACTGGGGGTTGTGCACATGGTGTTGCCTGGCCCGGCAATAGGTGCATTGCGCTGCATCGAGGGATCGACGTGTGACACTTGAGAACACTTGGCAGGCGACTTGGCGGGCGATTGGGGGGGTGCAACCTTTTGTGCTGGAGCCCTCCAGACGAAGCATATCTAGTCCAGCTAGCAATCCAGAACACCACACATTCACATACGCAGCACACAAAAATCAGCTGCGCGGACTTTATCGATCAACAGCGATCTGCTCAGCCTACCAGGGCCCATGGAACCTCCACAGACGCACTCCAGCTTCTAATATAGGCAGTTGCGCTCGTTGGGTCTGTCCAGGAACACAGTCTGATGTGGCTCCGTCCACCACAGCGAGCTGGTGCTCGCTCGCTATCGACGAATGACCTACTTAAACTGGGCTCACCAGGTGAGGGTCACAAAGAGGGGGTCCAGGTCGAGTTGCGGCGAGTACCCTGGACAGGGGCCACTTTGAGGGGAAGGCAAGCACGGGCAGCACTCATGAAGCAATGCAACACCTCTTTCGTGCAATGACCTAGATACAGTCAGAGAGCCTCACCCAGGGAGCCGGCGGACGAGGTGGGTCTGGGACGGGTCCGCGCTCTCGACGTCTGGAAGACTTGGCAGCCTTGCATTTGCAGGCGTGCTGTTTTTCAGGATAGAGCTGGAACGAAGGCGCCGTCGCAGCAGACCGCCGCGCGACCGCGCCCCAGACGCTTTCATGTCAAACCCAACTGATGTGCCCCACTGATGCATTGGCACCTCGCCTGCACCGCCACGTCTGCGTCGCAGCGAGAACGCGGCGCTGGAACCCAGCTATCCCATGAAACGGACCCGCAGCGACCAGAGCCTTGCCGGGGCGTGCTGCGCCGACGGCGGCGGCGGCCAGCTGGCTGACGTCACAGCGTGGTTTGCGCCGCAGGGCCGCGTCAGCGGGAGCAGCGGCAGCGGGGACGACCTCGTCGGCGGCGCACACATACAAGGGCAGGCGCACGCCGTGGCGGCCGCGGCGCTGGCGGGTCGCTTGCCGCCGCAGCTGGGGGGCTGGCTGGCCACCCTGCCAGCGGTGCTCAGCGACCACGGCAGCAGCAGCAACAGCCTCGTCAGCCTGGAGTCTGACCTGGCGCGCTCCTCCGCGTCCCAGCCTGCGCTGCAGCAGCTGGTTGCTAGCGGGCAGCAGCAGCGGCAGCAGCCGTCCAGCGGCGGCGTGAGCCATGTGCAGACGATTGGCATGGCAGCCGGTTTCGCAAGTCATGCGCTCGATTGTGGCGACGAAGGCGCGCCAGGCAGCAGGGCGCCGCCTGCGCAGCCGGACGCGGGCCGCCCGCGCTCGGACACCGTCGCCGGGGGCAGCGGGGAACAGTTGGTGATCACCTCCTCTGTGGTAACATCCCGTGCATGCACGCCACCGCCGCTGATTTCGCCCGCGGGGCCTGCCCGCGCGCCCGCGCTGAGCGAGTTCGGCGCCGCCGGCACGGGCTGGGGCATGACTGTGACCTCTCTGCGTCCGGTGCGCTGCTCGGCGGCGCCCTCTGCCGCCGCGGCTGCCCCGGTAACTTGCGTTGCTCTCGATGCGGGGGCGCGGCGAAGCGGCAGTCCAGCCGTGGGCAAGAGCGCCTGCACAGCTTCCATTGGTCAGGAGCAGGCCCTGCCAAGCTGGGGCCTGGGGGGCAGCAACGCGCCACAGGCCTTTGCTGCCGCCGCGGCGTTTGGCGGCGGCGCGGGGATGGGAGCCATGGGCGGCGGCTGGGGCCAGGCGGGCGGCGGGCGGGGGCGCGCCGGCGCCTGTGGCGGCGCGCACTTCGCCCCGGCCATGCAGGCCTTTGCCGCTCCCGCAGCCGGCGGCCCGCAGCCCGTGCCCGCGATCTTCGGCCGCCCTTCCGCCTCTGAGCAGCCTTGCCGTGCCGCAAACTCTGTACCAAGCGCGGCGGCGCCAACGATGCCCGACGCTGGCGGCGCCGCCGCCGCCGGCGACGGCTGGGATTTTGCGCGCCGCTCCGCGCAGCAGCGCGCCGCGGGCAAGGCGTCCGGCGCCAACTCAACGGGGCGGCGCCGCAGCTCCATCGAGCAGTCGATGCCGTGGCGCGCGAAGCTCGAGGACGCCATCGCGGCCGCCGCCTCGGACGGCGAGGCCGCGGCTGGCTGCGGCGGCGCGGGCGCGGGCGCGGGCGGGGCGCCGGGGCAGCTTGCGGCGCTGGGGGGCTTGGACGTTGTGCTCGACGCGTCTGCCGGCGGCGCAGGGGGGCCGCAGGAGATATACGTGCCCGGAGGCGCCCTGAGCCCTGAGGCTGTCGCGGAGCGCCCGGGCCAGCGCAGCAGCACGGAGAGCGAGCCCGGCAGCGCGGGCGGCCGGGGCAGCTGCGGGGAGCGCCTCGGCGGCGGCGGCGCCGCCGCCGCCGCGCTGCGCGGCCGCAACACCAGCAGCAGCGGCAGCGAGCGGCGGTCCGGCGACGAGTCGCCGGGCGGCAGCGGCAGCGCGAGCGGCAGCGGGAGCGGCAGCGCCAGCAGCGGCGCGGGCGGGCCGCGGCTGGGCAAGGCGCGCCAGCAGAGCGGCAACAGCTGCGGGTCGGGGTACTACTCCCGCCAGAACGCGGGCGACGCCGCGCTGGAGCTGTTTGTGCGCCTCAACCGCGCCCGCCAGACGCTCGGTGAGCGGCGCGGCACAAACCTGCGGCACGCGCGTCCCCGCCCGCGGGCCGCCCATCGGCACCGCTGCCGTCGCCGCCCGCCCGCTCAGCCTGCTGCGCTGCTTGCTCCGTGATGCTCGCCTGCAACACAGCCACCAAACTCCAAACCAGCATCATGTCCTGATATGACACCCTGCTGCTGCCTTCGAACCAATTTGCAGAGTACACTAAGCGCCAGGCGCAGGAGTTTGCTGAGCTGGAGGTTGCTGAGCTGTCGGTCTGGGAGGCGCTGGACACGCTGCAGGGCGTCCGCGAGTACGAGGCCGGCCTGGCGCCGACGGCGGAGGGGCTGGAGCCCGACATGCCGCTCAGGGAGCACGCGCTGCAGGTGGAGAGGCGCGGCAAAGGGGGGCCGGGGCGGGGCGGGGCGGGGC